TCCTTCTCCTTCTCCCTCTTCCTCTTTCACTCTCTATTTTAATACGAACGCCATCCAGAACTTGGCTTCCTTCCGGCTTAATAAGTCGAATCGTCGAATCGTCGATAATCCTCGCATAACGGAGTTTCAGCAAAAAACATCGCGCTCGCTCGAGCGCGAGGGTTAGTTTGCGGAACACCTCGTATGGGTTACGCGAAAATGGTTGGGATACAAGATGGGGGTGAGTTTAATATATGTATGCAGGTACGTGGCCGCATGGACGTGAGAGCTCGGCGCATGCGTGTGTTTGCGATTGTGTGTATGCATAATATTTGCGAGAGAGAACGGGCGGTTGAGGGGTGGATGAAGGAAATTGTCATTCGGCGGAATTGCAATTTCTCGCTGACGCGTGCTGTGCAACCTCTCGCGCGACGAGTAAAAGCGAACTAATGATGCACACTAGACTTAATGTTCCTGTTCTCATTTTCCTGAAAGGTGCGAGCTGCCTGCGGAAGGTCAGCCTAGAGGTGGTTCCGGAGGTGGTGCAACGTGGCGAGAAGGTGATTCTGCGGTGCCATTATGATCTGGAGAATGCGCCACTCTACTCTCTCAAGTGGTATCGGGGCAGACACGAGTTCTACCGATTCTCTCCCACCGAGGAAGCATCTACCAAGATCTTCAACATTTCCGGGATTAATGTCGACGTAAGTCATTTAATAAGATCTCCAACATCTTTTTATTCTTATTTAGATTGAATTTTCTTACTGCTAATATATCTCTAATATTGTAATCAATAATAGTATATTTCTTACAACAATGATAATATGATAATATGATATTTTACATCGATCTTTAAAACAATTGAACAATAGTTAACAGAGTTGTAAGCAATAAGAGTACACAAAGAAGGCAATGATTTTTTTTATAGAAAGATGAACTAAATAATTATACACATATAAAAATAAAAATTGAATATCTTTATATTGAATATTTTTAAATAAAAATTTATAATATTTATTACAAAATTTACAAAATTTAAATAATTTATTTAGTAATACTTTACTACTATACTTTACTATAACATTTACACAATGATATTGATTACAATGATTTTCTTTTTTTAAAATTTATTAAAATGTCTTATAGAATATAAGATATTTTATAAAACATATATCTTTATTTGTTTAATACATTTTATTTTATTATTATTACATCAAGAAAAGGCTACATTATTTAAGTGTAATTCTCGTTAAAAATAAATAAAAACTGCAATAAAAAATTTTTTAATTGAAGATATGAATAGAATTCATTAATGTGAAAATTTTAATAAAATGAACGAGTTCATGAATTTCAAATGGCAAATATTTGGCATTTAATAAACGTTAATAAAATATAAAATGAGCCATTTCTGTACAGATAATATATTGGCGTACAATTACCAAAATGTAAATTGAAAATTGATCGATAAGCAATAATTTCACATCTATATAGAGATATGTGTTAAAATAAAATAATGCAATACAACAAATAACATGTGGGAGAATACTTAACGTAAATATGTGTAATATAAATAATGAAATATACTTAGGGTATTTTTGCTTGCCTCTTTTTTACACCGAAGAGGAATAGAATCTTTTTTTTATTATATCGTTTTGATTAATTTCACTATATATAATAAATCAAATTAATTTGTGTTCAATGATATGATTTTGTATAAAACAATTCACAAATTTTTTGTGAATAAAAAATCGGACTTTAACTGAGCACATTTTTTTCTCGGAAGATTAAATTTATTATGAGCCAATCAATAAAAAAAATATTCAAAAATAAGAAAGCGCAATTACGTTTTTATCATGTATTTGATATATCAGTCTCGCTTTATATATCCGTGTTGATAAATCATTAATCTTCCTTTCCTTTTTTGCTGCAGTTGTTTTTCGTCCGCAGCACCAACTACAAATCTTTCTTTAAAACACGAACATGCGCATCGTTAAAAAGAAGGATGCATTCGCGACTTTAACAATCGATTAGCTATCAAGGGGAAAACGGAAAGAGGACGGGAGAGAGGGGATTTGATAATTGGAACGTTTTACTACACGGATCTTCACGGGGCTGCGAAGCTACGGCTATCGTTTTCGGCCGAATCGCGCGAATCGACGAGAGTTAGCGAACAACGAAATATGCGGTTTTATCGTGTCATCGTAACGCAAACCGCGGGGTTGCCGGGCGGCGGTCTCGTTAACAGCACCCTTGACCGCTGTAATCGTCGTAAAACAGTCGGCGCTACGGCGCTTTTATCATCGCTCCAACATTTCCGTAGGCTGTTACACGCGTCGGGCGCGATGGTTTGCGGGGGTGGCGCGATGGTCCGCGGGGGTGGCGCGCGGCGGGCCGCGCCAATCGGGCCATGCCGGCTGCACGCGCGCGCTACGCCAAAAACAAGCCCCTCGGTGCCGTTGTGTTCCGGCATAGCCGAATGAACGACCTGACAAACCGTGACAACGCGCCGCACGTATCCCGTTTACGTTTATCGTTTCGAAACACGGTATACGCGCGGCCGGTTCTCCGGTGACGAACGGGAAGTAATGCACCGCGCCGTGAGGGATATAAAAGCCTCGATTTCGAAAAATAACGTACGCCGCTTTTGCCCCCTCCTCCTCTCTCTCACCCCCTCCCCTGCCATTTGTTTCCCTCCCGAGAGGGAAGGCCGTGAAAAATATTGTTTTGTTACTTGGCTTGTTTTCGGGCTGATATTTGATTTGCTATGTGCACATCCTGGCCGGATATCTATATCGGAAATACGTTTGGCAGGATTTTGATGCGCCTATCTTGTTTCCGCGGATTGTTAATATCGCAATACTCTAGTTGTTATACCAGAAATATGTTTTATTTAATAGATCCTTTATCGGGGGGAATGAATCGTTTAACGCGCTCTCGCAGCCGACGCACATCCGGAGGGCTGAAAAAAAAATGATTTTCATTTTCATTTCGTTGTTTTTCGGTTGTAATATTAGACCGCTTATGCGATTACGAAGCATGAATTATCGCGTTACTATAATCCAGCGTACCTCTCTACCGGGAAGCGAAAACTTCTCGTACAACAAATTTCGTTCTACGCGCTCGTAAAGGGCTGTTATTGTTGAGATTCCGCACATACACGGAAATTCTGCGTATGCTGAAAGTGCTAAACATCGAGTTAACCAATTCGACTCAACGTTTGCGGAGTCAGAACGGCGAAACATTTACACGAGTCAACAAAGCACCGTTCAGGCAGGTGTTGCAGCACAGGACATTATGCAGTATGTTAAATGCGCGTTCATGATGAAGTATAAAGCCCGATACAGCGCGTATCAGTATATTTAAAGTAGTTTACTATGCGTACCATTGCGTTCAACTTCATAAATTGCTCAAAATTATTTATGATGATTTTTTCAAAATGTAGTGTGCCGAGCTAAGTTTCAAGAGAATGGAGAAGGCGATTGTTCAGTGAACTTGATCTTAGGAGTCTGATAATTTTTCTTTTAATAAATTTATATTTGTGTCTGCTGAAAATAATGTGTTCTAAACTTATCTGGTTATTACGATAAATATTAATACCACATGCCTCAAATCAGAGAGAGAGAATAAGATATTTAAAGCCCAGTAAATGAGTGATTCGATTTCTGGTTGAGATATTTTTTACAATAAGAATTTATAAAAAGAAAAAAAAGGGGGATTAATCGATTCTAAATTTGATTTATTAAAATAGCTTTGAGTTGCGTCGTATGTTAAAAAAATAACGACATGTAGTTCACGATATAAATAATTACTTCTAAATTTACACATATAAATTGAATAAAAAAAAATTATCAGACTTCTAAAGTCGAGCCTTTTCTGTTCTTATATTACATTAAAAAGAAGCAGAAGTCCTGACCATCTGAAATCATTGTGATAAATTTTAAAAATAATGAACGAATGATTTAGCAAAGAGAAAGACTTATGACCTGCGAGTGTCAACCTATTATTCTACAATGGTCTTCGCTTCCAATACCTATTTGCAATTCTCCAGCAAACCAAATACTGATACTCATTTGAGCAGTATAGATATCATGTTTCCAACATATCGACACTGTCATAATCATTCTAGTAGGAATTCAAACAAGTATTGGACAAGTAACGGTCTATAAAAAAGGCAATCTATTGCAACGGGCATTTTATCGCACTATCGAATTCTTTAGAAAGAAGCCGCAAATAATGACTTTGTGTCAAAGCCGTACTATTTAAAACTACGAACGAAAAAAGAAATATTAAAATAGAGATCGTGAGTGATTTATTATTTGGTCCAGGAAACGGATTTAATTTTATAATAAAAAAAAACACATTTCGGAGAAACATTTTTATAATTTTACAGTGAAAAGAGATAATTATGTTGATAAATAATTATTATCCTCGTTACATTCGATCGAACAGTCGAACAGTTTCATTAATTTTTCATACCTGGTTGTCCAACAGAATTGATGCCCGTATGAGGTTGTTATTCTGGACATTAGTAGTCTGCGAATGATCGATTCATACGCCACAAATATTGGATATCTCGTACAAGGGTATCAGTGTCATCGCCAGTCGGGGGAGAACGACAAGACGTTACACGTCGGAGATTATTCCCTAGATAGCGCCGACTGAGAGTGCTATGGTTTCATATTTATTCCTCCCGTGCGGTGTGCCGGGCTTTTGTTCCTGCTTCTGTAAAGTCAGCCGGGAACTCTGTGCCCTCACCCACATAAATCAACGAGCAGAGAGCTCACTTGCCTTTCACGCTCCTTTCCCAGCTCGTCAAAGAGCTTGCAATTCACCCTTTTTTCTCGCCCCAGCCATCGCGTCCTCGCTTGCCCGTGTTTCTTCCTCTTCCATTATTTAAGCCCGGCTAATTATGAATGCTTCGTTTTGCCTGTTCCGATTAAACTTTTCTCTGCTCGGTCCCGATCGTCATCGTGAAGTCGCTTCGCCATTACTTCCGTTACCAGCTTGGCTTTCCGGGCTACTTTAGTCGAATGCTGGATAATTTCCTGATAAGATAAGATGTTCCCTCGAGTGGATTCAGCATCGATCCTTCAGCACGATAGGAGCTAGGGTATTCATGGAATATTTATCGAAACAAAAAGACGCGAAATCTTTTCAAAAGTCTTAATTTTATTTATTTATTTTTTTTTTTTGAGAAATCCGAAACAAAAATAATCTTTATCAGTAAATTTATATAATTTTTAATAATGTAGAAAATGATTTTGTGTCAAAATAAAATATACATCTACATATCTAATAAAACTGACTAATGTTAAGTTCACGTTTGTTAATTTAGTAACGTTACTGATATTACGTCGCACGATAACGAATGTCGAAATAATCTCTTCAAGGCGCATAACGTCTTTCGAGAAAATGAGATTACATCGAATCACGTTATTCGCATATAAATGACATTACGACTTCGCCGCGAGGTAATAACCTAGGCCGCCACGCGCGCCCGATACGCAGGTACTTCCATTCTCTCTGTACATCTTATGCGGACGTGTGTTTCAGCCCGACAACTCGAACAAGAGCCAGGTAACGCTTCGCAATGTCGACTTCGGCCTCTCGGGTACATTCATCTGCGAAGTTACGGCAGACGCGCCGACCTTCTCCACGGCCTCCGCCTCGAAGAATCTCACCGTAGTATGTAAGTACATGCCCGACAGTATTACCCGGTATCACGAAACTCCGCACATACACGAGGCAGACTGCCACTCTTCTCCGTTATCCACAGCCCCATAGCTTTACGCAAGAGCGAATTAAGCAAATGCTTTAAAACTTTTTTTTTTTACCCTGCTGGCGACGGGTAATAATTCGAATACACGAGAATTGTTATTTTAATTCTTGCAATTTCTTTGAGCGTGTATATATGCGGAAAAACGAAATTGAATTTTTAATGGTAAAGAGAAACTAATATTTCTCTCACAAAATATTAAATTTCGCGATATGCCTTTGTGATGAACCATTAACAATTGCATAATTGTTCCGTGAATTCTTTTTGTTTTATTTTTTGAGACTTTTAAATTTAAAATTGATTGTATGTACCACGTGTGTGTGTGTGTGTGTGTGTATGTGTGTGTGTGTGTGTGTGTGTGTGTTTGCACAAAATTGAAAAAAATGATATTTTTTTATTTCAATTGGAAAAAGCTTTGGTATAACGTTCTGTGTGAATATGATAATTTTATAAAATTACGAGCGATATATAATTAGAGCTGGCGTAAATGCTTTCATATATTTTCTTTAAACCGCGTATTTTTACATGATAATTTCTTCCAAGAGCAGCTGACCCATAGAAATATTTCGTTTATTCAGCCATATAGCCTCTTTTATAAAACGGAATGAAGTAAGTGAAGAAAATTACATTTATTACGACGTTATAATTTTTAATTTACAAATTTCGATATTATTTGTGCTAATCCTCTTATCACTGTAATTTATATTTCGATGCACGTCGTAAGTCGTAGTCGAAGTACTCAAAGAGCTATGCATATTCCTGTGACACAGCTGGCGATGAAAGTTTCCTCGTCATCGTTATTAACTCTGTCGCGTTTGATCCATCTATTGAATCTGATCCGTGTGTCGGCCTCTTTGTCGCTGAATTGATATCGACATGTTGCACATGTTCATCTAATGCAATATATATTGGATCGAACAGTATCTCATTTTGATCCGCATACATACATCCGCATTTTAGAGAAGTTCGCGATTTTCCTGAAACTCTAAATGATGATATATATCTAAGATCTACTTGTCCAAAAAAATGGTGTTACAAATAAATTTATTTGTACATATAACATCGTTACAAATTTGAAATATTTCAAAAATTGGAATTCAGAACGGTACGATAAATGATGGTTGGCGAAATTCCATTTCAGAGATTCATGTACGTTGCGTAGAATTAGAAGTTTTGTCGTTCATTAAGGAAATTAGTTTATCATCCCAGATGTCATCAACACGGATGTAATTTATTGCACGAAATTTAAAAGTTAAACTTACGTAATTAAAAGTATGTCGCTTTGCATTCCATTGATAATTGTGTCACAAACTCGATAAAGTGAATTTCAAATCATTCATTTAATACGCATAAGTGATGGATTCCATAACGCATATTAATCAAGTTGTTTATCATACGGTACATGAATGTTACAAATGCTGCATATTAAAATATGATATTGTAAAAATATAATTATACTAGATATTTATAAAATCACTTGTATTAATAAAATGAAAACTCTCTCTCACGCTCTAATAAACAATTGATAAAAAGTGATCAATAAGACTTTAAACATAATTAACGATAAACAACATTCGTATTTTGATATATAAAAGAAGTTTATTAAATGTTTCATTTATATTTCTATTTAACTAAACTAAAAACATTGTACATGATAAGTAATATGGTACATGATTTCACAAGATTTATTATATATATATATATATTTATTAAATAAATTTGTTTGTAATAACATTTTTTTGACAAGTACTTTAAATATATTATCATTATTTAGAATTTCAGGAAAATCGCGAATTTCTGTAAAATACGTATATTTGCAGATTAAAATAAAACATCTTAACATTTTTTTAAATCTTGCCACACTTTTTAAATCTTGTACAGTGGCGTACAAAAGTTTCCGTCAGTGATATTTTGTACTCCAATTTATTTAAAAGAAGCCTAATGAAATTTTAAACATTATCAAGTGTGAATGTAAAATATAGCTAACGAAATAGTATAGGGAAAGAATATTATTTAGGTTCATAAATATTTATTGTACGTTATTTAGAGTATAAAATATCACTGGTCGGAAATTCTACATTTTTGCGTATGATAATTTTGGAAAAGCGATATTTGTTTTCTAATGTTTTTTCTAATGTTTTTTTTTATTCTCAACTTTATTTTACTTATCATATTTTTGAATTTATTTTTGAATTTATTTTTGAATTTATTGAGAGGGTCCACTAGAATAGCCGATTAGATTTACGAGCATCTGGAGATTCCCACTTTGGCGTTTACACTATTGGATTTAAGGGACTCGCGATTTATTCAAAGACGAGCGACCGCGAGATAGTAATTTCGCCATATATCTGTCTGCTGAGCTCTCTTTAAATCTTCCTGCTATAAGTTACCAGTATTGTCGAGACTACCAGATGCTTTCTACAATCCTCTTCTTCCTGTAAACTTGCGGGAAATCGAAGATTTTGCGATGCGATGTAGCATTAGGCGATGTGCGGAGTATACTTCGCAGAGACGCATTTTGCAAGGCGAAAATCGAGACTCTCTCAAAATACAGTTGAAGAACTCTCACGCGTATATGTTTGCACAGTTGCATCCTTTATACTACGCATAAAATTCGCAACGCACAGAACGTATTCTCTTGTTGAATTTTTTGTTCCGCGTTCTTTGTTGAATTTTTTGCTGCACTGTTTACTGTGACGCTCGTTACAAATTGTTACGTAACAAGAATTACCATAAAAAAAGGATAAAGTAGAAGTAAAAATAGATACAGATTTTTTTTTGAACTTTTAATTCGCTAATTTCATTTCTATGTCATTTATGATATGCTAATCGAAAATATCTTATTATATATATTTATTTCTATTTTATTGTTGTTTTTATGATATAAAGATTTTTAAATCAGTCCTAAATAAATATTTGCAAATAAATATTTGCAATTTGTTTGCAAATTTAATACTATTACGTAAATTATTTTGTTCTTTTTGAAACATGCAGATTTACTATTGCTATGTAATGTAATATTCGTTTTTGTAATATTTATTTTATTTTTACTAAATTATTTATTAAGAAGTGGACTAATACAGTCTTCTACAGTCATGTACATAAAAATTTAATTGCAAATATAATATTTTCTATTATGGTTGCGACATTTATTATTTTCAAAATTATATGTAACTATTTTTTTTTTGCGTCTGCATATATTTCGCTTCGTTTAGCGGAAAATGATTCAATATTTTTATTATATTCAAGAATTTTATTTCCGCACGTGCGCTGTACTTTTATTTTCTGTAGCTAGCAGGTTTAATAAACGTTGCGCACGCAATTTTAGCAAGCTTTTTTCAGAACGTAACAAGGCAATATGTTAATTACAAAACAGTTATTGCGTGCAGAAAGTTTTTGTTTCGTTTAATATTATATTTTATACGTATATTATTATAATGCATTCGTGTTGTATTTGAAATTTATTTGCTTTTTGAAAAATAGACATAGATACATATAAGATTCTCTTTACGTTTCATAGGAAACAATTGTCCCTACTATTTTTCCGCGAATGTGCGATGAAATCGAGCAATGAAATGGACGTATTTTTTTCCTTATCGCGACTAGGCGTGCTAGGAATTCAGGCGAAAAGTTATTTGAATAGAATTTATATGTCGAAATTACGAAACCCATTGTGAAACTATTTTTAGAATATGTACTATCATCTTCCGCTTCGGAAGAAGAATTTATTTCGCAACTCTATATCGGATGGATTCAATGAATGGGCTGTAACGTCTTAAAGTGCGACGGCACGGCATTCTGTGTAGGATGCTGGAAAAATGCTTGAATATCAAAAATTCTATGATCTCTTTTGCATCTTTTGCACAAAATGGAAACTGAATGCTGAGTCCGGGAGTATATTCAACTTCCTGTAACGCTAATACGACAATTGCGCACAAATTTGCGTTAAAATTAAAAATAATTTTTATTAACGTCACACGTTTGGCGAACGCGAGTCGTGTCATATAATTTAGCCATTTGTGTGCATGTGTGTGCCTGGATGTAAGGACTTGTGTAAATTTGAATTAGTGCGAGTAACATTGTGCACTGTCCCTTGACAGAGTGGTATATAGTAATGGCAAAGTCGCATAAACTCGTGAACGGTATTACTAAATTACCTAACTATACGTGAGCATTGTGCCGTGAGCGTACACAGCATCATGAGTAACACGGTGTACACTCCATCACTTCATTATTTTATATCCGACCAACTATACTATTTCTAGAAAGCATTTCACCAGAAAGAAAATTCTCCGGAACTCCTTGTTAGGAATGAAACGTTGATAGATTTCTTGAAATTATATATATCATACGATACAACGACTTTTTTTTTATCTCGTTACATATTTATTAAATGTATGATATACAGTTTCAGATTTGAAAATATTTAAAGTACAGATTGTTGAGAAAGCAACATTTCTTACGTAATCACTAAATTCTTAAGACCTAATATCTTGGCAATTAAGTTGCGTCTTAAATTTCTGTTAAAAGTAAAATGTATTTAAAACTGATTGCGTAACAAGAATACCTTTGCGCTCTTGAAGTTTAATTCCGCAAAGCATCTTTAATTGTTAATATTAAACATTGTTTTACAAATTTTATGTCAAAGAATTTTTATGAGGTTGTTATATCAAAAATTTTACTGAATTAACAAATTAAGGACTTTAATAAATTAGATTAAATAAATTAAATAGACAAATTTACATTTTTTTAAATATATTTATGTTTATTTTATGATTTTACTTAAATGAATACTAATGTATATATTAAGTGTATAATTATTACGTAATTAACATTATTCGTGATGAAACATATGTTATATATGTTGTGCGAAAGTTATGATTATTGATATTTACTCTCTAGTTGACTGTATG